AGAAAGTCTGAAAGAAGAACGGGCTTTCTTCATTTCTTTCAGACAATCTCGAAGAGAAGCCTTAAAATATAAAGTGGAAACTTCGTTTTCAATCTCCAAGTTTAGTTCGAAAAATCATCGTCACGGCCGGTGCCCTAACAGAAAATAAAAAGTATAAAATAAGCAACGAAGCAATCGGCATTTATTAGATTAATTCATATATTTTTGGACAGAAGATTATCTGAAATGCTAAATAAAATATAGTTTTAACTAAACAACAATGGGGGTATACGTACGTCCACCTGGTAGCATCAGAAATCAGAGATTCCAATACACAAAATATCTGTATTTTGTCTTGGTGTAGGTCTATTGTAGGCATTTTAAACAACGAGGCAAAGAAGGGAAACAGAGAATGTTAGGCAACGCTTTCGATGGCCCTCACATTGCAGATATTGTTATTTTGTTACAAGTTTTGTAAGCATATTCATAGACAAATATTGCAGAGAATATATACGGTAATAATTTGCAACAAATGATAGGTAAATTAAATTATACCGTAAGATCTAATGACAGTAATCAGAAAGTCCTAGTAGAGGCACACTCGAAGTCTTGCGCTGTTTCTTGTGTACGAAACCTACTCTGGGGACGGCTCTATGTCTTTCAGTCCCTCAACGCATGCCTCGATCAGACAACGACCGATTGTTTCCAAATCCTTTTTAAATCGTATTTTATCAGTCATACTACCATTTCGCATTGTACGTTATTGTCTAAATTATAACAGTGTTGCAATATAAACCCTCCCAAAATGGGAATAAATGGCTATTTATCGATTTTTTTAACTCGTTTAAGAGGCATTCAAAGTAAACTATTTGGAACTGGAAACGATGTCAAGTGAATCTACGAGTATTAAGAGTGTCAAAAGAAAGGAGAGATAAAAACTGATAAAGTTGCCGTTAAGTCATACAATTAGAAAGAGAGCAAAGAAAACGGAAGACGTATAAAGTTAAAGTGAATAAAATCGCAGTATGCTTTAAAATGGGACTACATAAATAACGGAAATATGACAGCTAGGGAGATGGGAGAAGAATATAAACAATGCTGCTGAAATAAAATAAAGATTAAGATAAGACTACGGTCTTCTGAATTGTACCGCGGTGCAGTTCGGATAAGGCGCGACGTTTCGGAGAAACATATCGCCTCCTTTTTCAGGATCGAATAGAGAATCAAGGAAGAACTCGAATAAGAGGACTAAGAGCGAGTAACTGCTGTAAAAGTTAAAACTATTCCCGCAAGAGACCACTGAGGGCAACAGGATTATAAGGCTTCGAGGTTCCCACATTCTTTAAACAATCGGTTCACAGATGGCGGTCAGGTTGTCAGTCTTAAGCGCCGGCCATCCTTTCACCCCATGAAGATTCCTTGTACTCATACCTGTTAGAGGCTGAGTCGACCACAGGGTCATAGTGAGGTTGGAAGAATTATGTAAATAGAAAAAAAAATCAAATGACCACATCGGGAATCAAATTTGCGACCTTTTGGCTTGTTGCACTCAACCAACTACGTTACCACCTGCCTCAAGTAACTGTGGTAGTGGCCTATTTTAATGTAAAACAGAAATATAATTAGAGGTAATAAAAGAAAAAGCACTAGAAACCTCAGTTGGGACAGCCGACGTACTAACCGAGGTTCGAATATGAGACATCGTAAATATGAATCATGTTCAATATGCAAATAGCCGATCTGGTAACACAGCTTCAATTTACTGCAAATTATATCGATGATTAGTTATTGATCTGTAGAACAACCAATTACCAAAATATCCTAATTACTCTAACGAAAAGTTTTAGAGGCTCAGGGTAACGACTTTTAGTCAAATATACTTAATTATAACCGCCATAATTAAATTATGTTATATTTTAGCGTCCTGTTGCACTGATTTAAGTCCATGATTTATTTCAACCGTCTTCCAGTGCATACACTCATCTATCTCCTCCTCTCTCTCGCACTACATGTTTCGGCACAAAAGTTCCATCTTCAGGTGCTTATTCGATTTACGCTAAACTAGTTCATTGCATGCCTTGTCGTCTTCATATTAAAATAACTAAAATATATATTTATCATATATATTGATAAATGTTAAATGTTAAAAATATTAAAATTGTTCAAGATTCCTCATCCCTACGTCGTATCTCACTACGCTAGTCACACCTATCCTCTTCTGTCGGAGCACTCTTTCACTATCGTGTGTGTATTGTGCTTTGTGTTGTGTCTTGCTCCTGTGACTGCGTGTGTTGTACTGCTGGGCCTGCTGGGTATGTCACAGGAGCAAGACACAACACAAAGCACAATACACACACGATAGTGAAAGAGTGCTCCGACAGAAGAGGATAGGTGTGACTCGCATAGTGAGATACGACGTAGGGATGAGGAATCTTGAACAATTTTAATATTTTTAACATTTAACATTTATCAATATATATGATAAATATATATTTTAGTTATTTTAATATGAAGACGACAATGCATGCAATGATCTAGTTTAGCGTAAATCGAATAAGCACCTGAAGATGGCACTTTTGTGCCGAAACATGTAGTGCGAGAGAGAGGAGGAGATAGATGAGTGTATGCACTGGAAGACGGTTGAAATAAATCATGGACTTAATTAAATTAAATGAATGTGGGTCAATTCCGTATAAAATTATATCTGCTGCAATGGAATTTTATTATATCAGCGACTTCTTGGAAAGAAGTCCTTTCTGAGAATTTAACAGTTGTTTATCTGGTAAAAAAATTCCCGCCTTTTACAAAACTTCGTTATCGGTTTCACAAAAAAACCTGTCACTGACCCCCATTGTGAGTAGCATGAATCCAGGCAACATACATTTTATTTACGGTTCACGCTAATATTATATTCGCATAAGCTCAACGGTTTCCCGCGTTGTGTCTTCCATTAAGGTTTCACGATTAATAATCTGAACGTATTTTTCACCTATCCCGTATATTCAGCTATTCATAAGCTTCAAGAAAGCCTATGATTCAGTTAGGATGGAAGTATTGTACAATATTTTGTTGCTGTTTGGTGTACCCACGAAACTATTTTACAATATTGCCGTAGAGTCTGGGTTGCCCACGCAACTAGACAGGCTGATAAATTGTGATTAAATGAAACGTATAGTAAAGTCCGTAAGGGTAAACATTCGTCTGATAATTTTCCTATCCAGAACAGTCTAAAACAAGGAGATGCTTTATCGCCACTGCTTTTCAACTTTGCTTCCGAATATGCCATTAGGAAGGTCCAGGAAAACCAGGTGGGACTGAAATAAAAAGGGACACATCAGCTGTTGGTCTATGCCGATGATGTGAATCTACTGGGTGATAATATAGATAAAACAAAGAAAAATATAAAGGTACAAAAAAGATAAAGTTGTCCCTATGCTTAACTAACTTTGCCATGAAGGCGTATGGGGGAGTAGAATTATAGATCCATATTTTCTTGAACTCGGCACTAGCTGCAGGTGAGTGGTCAGCTTCACGCACGGGCCGCTTTACCCGGGGAAACAACCCCTGGTACCCATTGAATAGGAGGTTGGGTGAATCCCAGAGCTGGTCTGGACTATGTGGAAATGATAAAATTCTCGACACTACTTGGACTCCATCTTCGATCCCTAGGTCGTCCAGCCCATATCCAGTCGTTATACCGAATACATTATCCCAGCTCTATAAAGAAAAATATAGAAACTTTAACTGACGCTAGTAAGGAAGTTGCTCTAGAAGTAAAGGCAGAGAAATCTAAGTAAGCAATCTATATGTTGCTGTCTCTTCACCAAAATGCAGGGCAAAATCTTGACATAAAGATAGGAAACATGTTTTGAAAATGTGGTACAGTTCAAATATTTGGGAATGACAGTAACACCAAAATTTGATTCACGTAGAAATTAAGAGGAGATGGAATTCGGGCATTGCTTCCTACCATTCATTCCAGAATAATGTCTTCCCGTCTTACTTACTTACTTACTCATGGAGCTCAGCCATTCTGGAGGAAAAAATATAAAACCCAAAATACAAAAAATTATAATTTTGCTTGTGGTTCTGTATGGGTGTGAAACTTTGGCTCTGACATTAAGGGAGGAACACAGACTGACGGTGTTTGAGAACACGGTGTTGAGAATATTTGGACCGAAGAGAGATGAAGTGACGGGAGGTTGGAAAAAACTGCATAATGATGAGCTTCGTAACATGTACTCTTCTCCAAATATAATTAGAGTGATCAAGTCAAGGAGGATGAGGTGGGCAGGGCATGTAGCACGAATGGGGGAGAAGAGGAATGCATATTGGTGGGAAAGCCAGAAGGAAAGAGACCGCTAGGAAGATCAAGACGTAGGTGGGTGAACAATATTTAAATGAATCTTAGAAAGGTAGAATGGGATTAATCTGGAACAGGCTAGGAACCAGTGGAAACCTCTTGTGAACATGGTAATGAACCTTCGGGCTCCATGAAATGCTGGGAAGTTCTTGAGTAGCTGAACAATTGGCAGCTTCTCAAGAAGGGCTCAGCTCCATGAATGAGTGATGCGTGATATGTAATAGAGGGAGGATAATATTAAAAACTACCTTATAGACGTAAGGTGTGAGAGTGTGAACTTAATTTACCAGTCACGTTACCGCGTGAGCTAATCTGCTCTCTCTACTACTGCTTACATCAGCCTTAAAGGATTTACTGTGTCAGAAGGCAGAAAGAATTCAACTGAACAAAAGAATGACAGTGAAATTTCAGCGTAAAATTTCCCTTTCGTTAGACTGGTTGCTCGTAAGGAAGCACACGCGATATGCAGCGGCGTGCTATATCCTGTCTTAAGAACCACGTAACTGACAAAACAAAGCAAACACCATTAGTCGGGTTCCACTTGCTCGAATGTCATAAACGTGACCTAGAGAGAGCCACTTTTGGTGCACGGACCACTGTTTCATTTTCTCGTGACGCTGGAATGACCAAGTCGGTCGTAGTTGCTCAGTTGCCTGGTAACACTCGCAGCGTCTACAACAATCTTCTAGAAGTAGAGGAGCATACTACTCCTTACCAGCAGCCTCACTTGCCGAGAGCTAACAGCAGGCTGAGCGACCACGCCGAGTTCTTGCCCATTCACTCTGGAGAGAGACAGAGAAGCGTCGAAACTCAGCACGCGAGAGTGAAGCCAACGAACTGTAAGTAACACAGTTTTTGCAAATTTGGGGGGAAGGTGTAGGTAGAAGGGAGAAAATATTAACTTTGAACTGAAATATGCTTGCAGTTTTTTCCTTTAACATTATTTTTTTAAAAATATAATTTCCTTAAAGTTGTTTTTTTAACGACGCTCTCAGTATCGAGGCAATATAACTTCGATGGCACGACGATTAATGAACATGCGACAATTAATTGAATATGAATAGGAGGAGAAAACCAAAGTACTTTGTCTACCACAAATCCCACATGGCCTGGTCTGGGATGTAATCTAAAATCCTATAGAGCGAAGACGACAACCAACAGCGTGAATAATGGCACATCCCTTAGATTTTTTGATCAAATCTGTGGTAAAATTTTGGGGGTTCTCATTATTGACAGTGGTCTGGAAACTGTATATAATTTCTTCTCAACAATTTAATTTATCCCCCCTGCCCATACAATAACACTTTCGAGACACTTTAAATTATTTCATAGTAATATGTCCAAGTATGATCGATATTTCTGTGAATGAAGATCCGAAAGTAAATATATTACCTTCAATTTCACCAGGAGACTTAAATTTTTAAACTGCTTATAAGTAAGAAATTTATCTAATGTCACGATATCTATTTTAATTATTCTCTATGACTCTCAAGTGTTAATAATATTGTATATGATCAACTGAAAAGCTAAGTGTTATGAACATAAATAATATTTTTTTTTTTATTTTCATATTTTCAAATATACTATCTTCATAATAGTCCAATTAAAATGCGTTGACGTTAAAAATTAAGTTACAATTTTATAAAATAGGCCTGTATAAGCACGTTAATATTGGAGCAAAATATTCCTTGTTCAGGCAGGAAATATTTCATGACAGAAATTCAGATTTTAACAGACACTAATATTTCGAAACACGAATTTCTTCTTTTCGAATCTTTCTTCTCTCAATAATATTGTTGTAAGATTTTATCTTCCACTTCTTTCAATGCCTACAGCCAACTATAGCACTTATCTCCTGACACAATTACAGGAAACCTGTCAGTAACAAAAGGCACATAGAAAACCAATGGAAAATAAGATTTATAACGGCAACATTCCAAATATCATAGCCCCAAACTCATCGCCAGTCTACGACAACCACGAGTCTACGACAACCAATGAGCTACAGACACTGATGTCACGATGGGTTTTATTCAATTTAACCCCCCCCCCTCTCCTCCTCATGTTGGAGCATGACTGAGGAATCTAGTGTTACTTTCAAAAGGGTGTGTTTTTCTGTTAAAATAATTATCCACTTTCGTCAGTTCTTGGCATACTCCCTTTAGCTCCACCCCTCACTACATCTCACTTCTAGTTCACATTTTCTGCATGCACCCTTCAGTACTTATGACTAATATGTTCTCCCATGAGCAAGTCCTAGTTCAGTCTGTTGTGGTCGTGAAGGAAGGATGTCTTCTCGGATGGTAAACCGCTACCTAAAACCTGTTCAGTTACACGGGGAACCCCGGGGATTTATTCCAATATCGCTTTTTCAGAGCTTTAAAAGTAACTGTGTAAAATACGTAGTTGACTGTTCTACTTCATTAGTTTACTTTTAAATCGAATTCGGAAGAAGAAAGTGAAGTTGAAGGCGTAAGAAGAAGAAGGGTGAATGATCGATGGTAGAAAGTGCACCGAACTTTTTTCTTCTTCTTTCTCTAGCAAGGTAGTTGTGTTATGTCTTGTGGATTTGAGTTGCATGCGAAAAGGAATTGAAATGCGAAATACGGAGCTGAGTGACGCGTATCAAGTGGAACTACCGTCCATCAAAGACGTTGCTATGGTGACATTGAGTGCGGAACCGTGGCTAAGTGCCTACAGACTGCGACGAATTTGATCCAAAAATTCACAGTGTCTAATTATCGTGGTTCTAGCACCGTGTTACTTCCATCCTGATTATGTTTCCTGCATGTATATATATACACTTAAACCCTCTAATATTACAGAGCTTAATTTACTCGTATGTAAGATTGACAAGGGCCGGTCACGGTAGCCGAGCGGTCTAACACATGCACTGCCTTTCTTCGCTCGGAGTTCGGGATCGTGGGTTCAAATCCCACTGAGGGCATGGCTGTTTGGTGTGTGTGTGTGAATTTTTCTGTGTTTGTGTACAGGTAGAGATCTTGCGACGGGCTGATCACTCGCCTAAGGTGTCCTACCGAATGTCTTAGATCTAGTAAACCGAAGTGAAACGGAGAGTTTCATAGAGGTAGGCCAAGGCCCAAATTGGGGCTGCAGCGCAAAAAAAAAAATGCTTGGCAAGGTACATCACTATCGCTAATTATTTAATTCATTCCATGTTCATTACCTCAAAACACCACGCGTTACAAATCGTTTACGCATATGTATTCGTATTTAGTAGCTAAAATATTTATTCGTGCAAACAGTACATAACTGGACCTGAGTAACTATTAAGAGTAATAAATAGAATTTACTCAGGACACTAAGTGTGGCATCGGTAGTAACAAATGCTTTGCAAGAACATGTTGAGAATATATCTGGAATACTTGAGCATTAATAGCAACGAAATATACAAAACAGCAAACAACGCTTTGAAAAATATTGATAGCCTGTCCCCGCCCCCAATATTGGTATATCTTTTCCCATTTTAATGCTTTCGCGGATATTTTTATTACGTCATAAATTATCTTCAATTAAAATGGATTTTAGGTGGCACGGGTTAGGGACCAGTGGCGGTCTCTTGTGAACACGGTAATGTACCTTCGGGTTCTATAAAATTTGGGGAAATTCTTGAGTAGCTGAGCACTTGGTAGCTTCTCAACAAAGACCCAACTCCAGGAGCTTAGTTTAGTTAGTTAAGTATTAATTTCTATTTGTTACGTAGCCTAATAACGTACAACGTTGACCATACTGGGTCAGATGCAAACGGTGTGAGTGAATGATCGTGCCCTCCTTCAATGCATTCCAGAATTGTTCTTGCATATAGAGAAAAGCTACAGCGAATCTTAAAGCAGCCAATGTTCAGGCTGGTTGTCTCCAGAAGAGTTACCGCTAAGTTAACCTGCTCAAAGTTCGTCACAGATATAAAATACAGCATTGAAATAGCAGAGATGGGAAAGTGATACACTGCGATATGAGAATGTATAGATTACCGGTGAATAACTTGCTCGCAGTGGGGGTCAAGAGGCGACCCTCCACGTCCGCATCTCTCCCTTTCCGCGGCTTAGCTGTCTGTCACGGTCTACTTTCTCCTGCGGCGCTCAAACAGTTGTACGCGCTAAAACGGACACGGAAGAACATCACAATTCTCTCCGCTGGAACTGGCCAATTACTTGCCAATTGTACTGCGCATGCTCGTTTACTCTGGAGGTGCTCAGATTCACTTTTAGATGAATATGAGCTAATACGAAAACTCTTACATGCTTTCTTTGCAAGAAGCAAATGCAAGTGCAGATATCGTGTATTTTTCTCCGTATATTATATTACATATCCGAAACGATTAAAGAATTTCATGTAAATCTGGTATTATTATGTGTCAGTATTAAATTAATCTAGTTAATTCTTTCGCCCCACCACGTCGGTTTAAAGAAATTATATTTTACACAAAACTATGATCAAATTTTAATTATTTGTTTGCTTTATTGTCACAAATGACACATATTTTGTGTATAGCCATAATTTTACATTCTCTTTTCTTCTACAAGGTAAATTACGAATTCAGAATTTGTCATCACTTGACTTGAGCAGAAGCCTTGACATTTGCTATCTCCTTTGTATGAGAGAATCAGGAAAAATATTTTTCCTGATTCTCTCATACACAGGAGATAGCAAACGGCTAGTGAAATCTTGTTAGACTTCACTAGCCGTTGCTTGGAAGCGGCTTGCAAAGGCGGACTTTAGCCTTACTCTGTGTTCCCAGACTGTCGCCGGCCTCAGCTACCAGCTTCTCACAGCAGCAGCTCACAACGACTGAACCCCAGCAGTTCTCTAACTCACTCACTAACCGCAACAGAGTCAGTCAGAATTACTTTACCACTGGTGGCTTACCACCAATCGGTTCGTCTTCGCGCCAGCTCACTGGCCCATCTTATAAAAAACACCGCTCCGCTGTTGCTCTATCCAACCTTTGCAATGGAAACACACTAGTAGGCGTAGCCGTTACTTAGTAAAGGCTATTATAGAGCTGCTTCTTTACCGATCGTTGCCTAGCAACAGGTCTACATGCCACAATATGGATATGCTATTCATATTATGTTCCTGGACATTATTCGTCGTACTGTTTTTATTTAAAAAACAACGTTTCGGAGGATGCATTCTGTCTCCGCCTTCATGTAAAACCTATTCAGTTGGGCCAAACTGATAGAGATTTACTGACTTCTCTCCGCTGCTACCTGGAATTAGGTACTAATGCCTTCTTCTATACCATGAAGTTCTGTCTATTTCTTTTAATGTGGAAATAAAGATAAACCTTCTAATACAACTGTAACGTCATAGTGCCAGCGAGTGACATCATGGAACTAACAGATGTTTGCTGTCACTTCTTTTCAAGTGAAACTTCGCAAAAACAGAGACATTTCCTCATAAAGCGAACAGCGCAATCTGTCACCCACTCGATAGGACTGAAAATTAAAATACCTAATTGTAAAAGCAAAGTGTTGACGTGATCGTACTTTACAATTAAAAGTAGTTTAACTAAGTGTGATTGAACCGTGTCATTTACTCAGGAAACTCTGCTACTGATGTGACACCATTTTCGGCAAATCTGAACGAAAAGACGAGAGTAAACGGTTAATCATTTATGTAAGATTTTAGGTTTACACGGCGGTGACTGTGAAGAAAGTAGTCTTCTGGGATTTGGCACCGTGTATATGTGATGTTAACCGACGTTTCGGAGGAACTTATCGCCTCCATCTTCAGGGTAGAAGGAAAAATATAAGAAATCCACAGGCGAAGAGACCGTGAGAACCGGTACAAGCAATCTGCTTGTACTACCAGAAGA